TACCAACTCGTAGACGAGTAAGTCCCAGGAAAGGACACGCCGCTGCCTGGATATTTCACAGCCACTAACACAAGGTTCCAACGCGTGTTGGGCCAATTGTTGCGGAGAGTATGTCACCCAGGGGATTCTGTGCGACGGCTGTGGAGTGTGGTATCACCAGCGATGCTCTCAAACGAACAAAATGGCGTTTCAACTCCACATGGCGCAGAAGTCTCTCAAGTGGGTGTGTAACCACCGATCAATATTAGCCGAGGAGTTCAGGAGAATTCTGAGAGCAGCAGTGGCTCCCTAGAATAAGAAAAACAAAGGGAAACCGGAAGGAATTACTTCTGTGTTATCCGCAAATCAAAGTACACCAATAAGAAAAGTAGGAAACCAAAAGAGGAAGGTTGAACCACAGATCATGAGGACTTTTAAGGCTACGAAGACTGTGGTTAAACCGGAGGTTCATCCTAACTACCGGGCAATGTTACAACGGATTGAGCGATTGGAGAGAGAACTTAAGTTGCTGAAAAAAGCAGCAAAGTTTGGTTAGGAATGAATAAGAATTTGCTCCTGCATTGTTGCGCGGAGCCAGTTATGAACATGGCGAAGCCGAGACGAGAAGCTGAACATCACCATGTGCAAAACATTTTATGCTATCAGGGTTGTCCCCGAACACCTCATATACCAAGTGTCATAGAATTGACCTGTGGAAAATGAAAATCTCACATGGTCCAAGGCCTCTCTTAGTGGTGTTTCTAAACACAAACATAAGAGATCTGCTACTATCACGAGCTTTAAGGATTGAGGATCTTACTCAGGGGCGTATAATAATCACCCCCGATAGGCCTATCAGAGTGATGCACCCAGTTAGAAGAAAGACTAATGTAAGCGCCCATTACACCAAAGACGTAGTACTTCGCGTGCCAAGGGATGGAGCAAATCCACACCGAAAGTGCCAAAGAATTTACCAGCAAAATCACATGTAGGAAAAGGCAGTTGCAAAGTCCCCAGCTCTCCGATTGCAACGGAGATTACGTACTCCGAAGGCAAATGAAGATATAACTATGGAGGTAGAGGAGGCTTTTGAAATAGCGATAAAAGTCATATCCAGGGAGAAAAGTGGAATGACTTAGAAGTGGAAGAAGCCATGACCACAGCCATAAACCCCCAAAAAACGGGGTAACACCTCGAGCATTTACGCGCGAGGATCCTCCGGAAATTAGTTCCTAATCCAGCAGGCATGCTCAAGCAGACAGTCACACTGTGGTACACCAATGCTTGCATCATACGGGATAAGTGGGGAAGGGTGCAACGGCGCATCCCAGGTACAGACATTGTGATTATAACTGAATCATGGATGCGGAAGTACCACAGCATCCCGGGGATGGATGACTACACAAGCTAGGATGGATGACAGGTAAGGGGGAGGGGTTCTGATAATGATAAGCTTAGATCACACGTAATGGGAGGCAGCAGCAGCCCTAGCGACTCTCAATATATAAGCCATCAGTTGTGTAGACAGAAACGCATTAGCCGTCATGTGCGTCTACCTGGCTCCGCAGGTAAATGCAACAAAAGATCAGGACTTAATTGCTCAGATGCAATTATTCCTTACAACGTCCAGAAAAGTGCTGTTAGTAGGGGGACTTCAACATGCCAGAGATCAACTGGAAAAGAGACAGGGCACCTGCAGGTACCGGAGTTGGACTGCGCCTAGTGTGGCTACATCAACACGCATTATCACAACACATGCTCTAGGCCACCTGGTTTAGAACAA